TAGTACAATGATGGGGCTTTTAACAGATGCCTGCCAGTTCTGTATAAAAAAAATGTTACATACTACTCTCCAGGACCAACAGTCTAGTGCTTTTATAAGTACAATTTGCACTTGAGGGCTCTCTAAAATGATGGATCTACAAGACTGCTATTAAAATATCCACTATATCTGAGAGAAACTTTTGAACTTTGCTGACAGTATTCCCAAAGAAAAGCTAATTTGAATCATAATACTTGTAGGCTGGCCAAGTCCAAAAATTCTACAACCTTAAGTCATTTATTATAAGTATCTTTTGTTTAGCCCTGTTGTAAATAGTAATAAAAAAAAAAAAATCACTGGGCCCACTTGTTTCAGCCAAGCCCTCTGTGGGTCAGTTTTTATGTACCCATGTTCAGATTTTTCATATGAAATGAACTAGAAGGTCAGTCTTGAAGCACATATTATGCAACCTTCTATATAGAACTGGCTTATTTCAGAGATTCCTCTTTGAGGCTTCCCTAGAAAAAGACTTCCCCTTAGCAAAATGTCTTTTATAACAGCTGCAATCAGATCCACCCAGAGCACTTCTGTTGTCTAGAACCTGCACTAGCCCCTTCTCTAATTCTCAGGGATATGGGCATATAAATCCAGTCACATGGGTTTTACTAGGTTCAGATTCCTCTGTAAGGTTCAGAGAGTCTTTAGCTCTGATATACTCATTTTAATTTTCAGCAAATTAAAAATGTAAAATTGAGAGCCCCAGAAGACAAAGTTCTAACCTGATCTACAAAACTGACATAATTTAGAAAAGGCATGCTTTTCAATCCTGCCTTAGAGTAAGACTCATCCTAGTTTGTTAAACATCATCTGTGGGAAAAGGAGGTAGTTCTCACTCTCCACACCCAATCAGTCATGGACCTCTCTGCCCAGACTTCTAAGAATGATGTCATGTGAGTCACAGAGTCACAGAAATTTAGGGCTGGAAGGGACCTCGTGAGGTCATCAGGTGCAGCCCCCCGATGGTCATTTGTGTACTGCAGAATGTTCAAAACTAAACAACGATTTGGAACGAGACACGTTCCATGTAGATGTATCCCAAAACTCAATAACCAAAACTAAGCTGAGGGGGTTTACCATCAAAAAACTGTAATTTGACCTCCAAGTGACAATCCCACTGAAATTTAACTGTGAACAATGAATGCAGACAGCCAATCTAACAGAGCTAACAACACATTTCAGGCAAATGAGTCATGTCTTATGAAACTGGTCTTTCCAACTTTGATGATAGACATTGTATTTATTGCTGTTTGGTTTTAACAAATATTTTGTTACCAAGTTTATGATGCTAAATGTCATTAGGACTTAACCATGATAATGGGGCAGGGGGGAGACAAGGCAGAGAGAAAGACGGGGGGCAATGAAAGAAGAGGGGGAGGCTCAGTGCAGGCCCTTCTCCCCAGCCCCTGCCCACTAGCTGGTGATTATCAGCAGCAGCTGGGGGGAGGGAAGACAGGGGAACAGAGCTCCTCCACCACAAGAGCCCCCCCCACAGCTTGCTGGCTGAGGCGTTGCGGGGGAAGGGGGGTAGTCCAGGTCCATGCAGCAGGATGGTTCCCTTTCCCCAACCCCCCCACCCCAGACTCTTTGACAGCTGCAGCCAGGTGCTGTACTCCACGGCTGCCCAGCCAGGCTTTTCACCAGGCCAGGAACTGGGTCCTGGAGGAAGTGGCAGGGGGGGAAACAGACGACCCGTCAGTCTCACCTCAATCCTAGGGAAACTATTTGAGAAGATCCTCAAGGAGCACATCTGCGATGGGCCAGCTTCAGGGATGATGCTCAAG